ATGCACTTCAGACTCAAGCAAAGCTGATAAAGTTAGGCATCAACTTTGTGTCCAAAGAAAATGATCTTCCAAACATTCTCCAACTCTGACCAATTAAACAATTTTGGACTTATCATAAAGGACCAGTGGCATGCCATCCTTGGAAGCACCACTTCCCTTGTATTTTCTAAAATATAAATACATATTGCGTGATTATTTTCATATTTTAACGCACTTTGAATTAATTAAAATTAATATTTTTTTACAACCGCATTTTGTATCTTATTACAAATTTCTATACTACATGTGAAAAAAAATGATAAGATTGCTACTGTATATTAGAATATCGGTGGTGGAATGGAAGTGCTGTATTGTCAAAACCAGGTCAGCTTCCAAGTGCCCAGATTTTACGCATTTGCGCATGCACTTTACAGAGCACCAACCTCACCCGGTTTAGCTGATGGAAGCTACACACTATAATGTTTCCAATGATTCTATCCAGGACCAGTTCTGGGCTAGCCACCTGCCTGCTAAATATTTGGCCACCCTTGCCCTATTATGTGAATCATGAGTAGATTTATAACTTAACCCTACTGATAGGAGTTAACTGGTATGTTTTTATGATAGTTCTGTATAGTTGACAGGAGTTTAAAAAAATCCATTAAAATATTTGATATTTTTATTCCTCTCTCCGATTTTATATTACTCATGGATTTCAATGTTAAACCAGTGATATTATGATTTCATACGTACCATCTATAAAGGGATGTAGAAAAAAACGTGTACAAATTGTGTGTGAAAAACTCTTGTACAATGTTAAAAAATTAACTGTTACTTTGGCAGCATCATTTACAACCAAATTTAATGAATGAGACACACAAGATACAAAAAAAAAGCTCTAGAATTTATTTTCCTTAAATTTATGATTTATGCATTGTCATAAAAATTTGTCTTTCCACTTCTTTCCCAAGACTACAAATATTCAAGTACAAAGTAACTGGTTTCAACTTATTTCTACTTAAGAAGTAATTAAATAATTAAGAGATTAGGGAATTAGGGATATAAATAAAACCCTGCTGAAAGAGCCAGAATTTTACTTAAAAGCTTAACTGAACCAATCTCTAGCCGAGTACAGTGGGGACTGATTTCTTGGTAATATTAGATATAATAAAGATAGAAATTTTTCCAGTTTAACGAGAGTGACTGAAAAATTGTAAATTTTGGAAATTTCCATGGACACCTAGTCCTAAAATGAATTACCTAGTAAAGAATATTTAATGTTATTTTTATGTATGTTTCTTTACAAAACTATATTTAATTATAATTTTCTTTAAAAGTATATTTATACAATTGAATATTTTGTACCAGGTATGTATAATGGTATATCCATCACACATTTTATTTTACCAAGTAAGTTTTAATAATTTTATTTTTAATTTTAGCCCTTATATCATGGCTAGCGATTTAGAATGTAATTGTGATATT